AAGAGAAACTGCAAGTTCGTTTTATAGCTGCACGGTGATTACTGCGGCGAGTCATAAGCAAAGGACTGGAAAAGATCTCCCTTATGGTTGTCGATTCATTCAATATCGATGTGTGCAAAGCAAGCGTAAGAACTTGAAAAGGAAGCGGTAAGGTGCATGACAATTTTAGTGCTTTTAACTCTTTTAGATATAAGTGTTACAACTGCAAGGCTCGATTTTTTGTGGCGCCGAAAGGCTGAAATCCTTGTTTGAAAACAGTAGTTGAATAACACTGCACATAAAATTTGGCCTTTGTCAGTCATCTTGGGATCCGAAAGGACTTGGAAGTACCGGACTATTTGGTCACGGCCTACCTGTCGTGTTTCATCGTTCGAGCTCTTCTTCGACGAACTCTGTTTTCTGAGATTCAAAGGGACTCAGAAGACCTAACTTATTCGCAATCTCTTTTTCCGTACGAATTACGGCTTGCTGCACCCTGCATACGCTGATTACTCTTTTTATGTGCGAGAAAACGTTTGTGTAAACACTGTCCTGCATGAAAAAGTGCATCATATCGGTTGCCCCCGCTGAGTTCAATTCGGTGCGTACGTTTCTCTTGCGGTAATACCCGACTGCTCTGGCTGTCTGCATTGTAGGCCTTCGCAAACCGGTCCTCACCTTTTTGTTGTTCTTACCTTTTCTTCATCACTGTCAAGATGGTTAGAAAAGTTGTGGGTGTGGCTCCGGGTCTTAAAACAGCTGTTTCAGTTTACCTATGCGGCTTAGAGAGACGCTGTATACCTTTAACCGACTTGTCGGGTGGTATGCAAGGCGATCTTTGCGGTAGGCGGTTCCATGCGGCATGCACCGGTTCGCCTGCGGATCCGTATGCTCTCTGGGAAGCAATGAGATGTTCCTTTATAGCTGTGAAGCTTGTTTTAAGTTTAAAGGTCAGCGCTGTGTAACCACGACGTTTTGCTTCGACTCGCTCGTTTCCAGACTGACAAATATGGAAAGAGTGTTGTCTTTGTTGTTGACAACTTTAGATGGTAAAGTTGAAGGTTTAGTAGATCGCCTGACGCCATCCTTTGTTCTCGGCCAGGTGAAATTAGCGGATAATAGCACGCAAAGGCATTCCGTCTACCTAACACTGTAGTGGTGGCTGGGGATCTGAACGCTCAAGTTGGAAAATTATCCACAGATGAGCTGCATCTGGGCGGCCAACATGGTATAGGCTCCCGTAATGATAACGGTGAGCGGTTACTTCATTTGTGTGAGGATGCTCGCTTATTTCTTGCGAGCACTAATTTCAGACACAGCACCCGCCCATCACCAAACAATTGTTTGCGGACTGGAAGCAAATGAATTGAAGTACCTCTTTGGATACGCTCCCATGGCTTTTTTACAAAAGTACAACTGTAACCTGAGCGGAGGATATGCTAATAATAATAGGCAAAACTGAATAGCAACATTTCGCTGGAGGCCAGCGCTGCGTACTGCTCGGTATTTATGTCACTTAAGTCTATGTAGCATAGTAGCAGTCAGAGAGGAAGAGGCTGGCCAGTGGGACTAGAGCACCTCAGAGCAGTGAGGTGGGACACTCCATTTGAAAATAAAAATGAAAACAGGGCGCGATAATAAATGTTAGGGTCAGGATGAGAAAGGTTTATTGACGAAAGGGTGGGAAAAGGCCGATCTGGCGAGACAGGATTAGTCAGCGAGTTGGAAAACCACGTTTAATAAAGGCAGAAAAAGCTGTAACAATAGAGGATCAACGAGTCTAGCAGCCTCTCTGTGTAGGGGAATACGAGCGTTTCATCTGCATAGCGTATACCGCTTAAGTCTACGTAGCATAGGAGCATTCAGAGAGAAAGAGGCTGGTACGTGGGACTAGATAACCGCAGGCAGTGAGATTTGGCACTTCAGTTGAAGAATTGAAAACGGAGCGCGATAAAAAATAAGCTAGGGTCAGGATGAGAAAACTTTTTTGACGACAGGTGAGAAAAGCCCACAAGGCTCTCCAGATAGTGTGAATGTGATTTCCATTACTTCGTCAACATTGAATTAGCGGAGAGGTAACAACAGACCTCCCTGTCTCACCGCTGCACGTCCGGTAAGTGTATCCGCTGTTAATAAGTGGCTTTTAGAACCGCTGTGTATCCATGCTGCATATATGGGTGATCCGCCACTGCTGGTCCGCCTCCACATCAACTTTGCCGCCGCTATCAAATTCGTTGCAGGTCAGGTAAGTGTATCCGATATTAGTAAGTGGCTTTTAGAACACCCGTCTAGCTGCAATGCCTATATGGGTGATCCGCGAATGCCGGTCCGCCTCCACGTCACCTTTGTCGCTGCTAGCTTGTCCGTTGCACCTCCGGTAAGTATATCCGCTGTTAACAAGTGGCTTTTATAGAACCCCTCTATCTGCGCTGCCTATATGGGTGATCCGCGACTGCTGGTCCGCCTCCACGTCACTTTGCCACCTCTATCAAGTCCGTTGCACGTCCGGTAGGTGTATCCGCTGTTAATAATTACCTTTTAGGACTGCAGTGTATCTACACCGCCTATATGTGTGATCCGCCACTGCTGTTCAGCCTCCACGTCACTTTGCCGCCATTATCAAATCCGTTGCACGTCAGGTAAGTGTATCCGCTATTAGTGAGTGGCTTTTAGAACACCCGTCCAGCTGAACTGCCTATGTGGGTGATCCGCCACTACTGGTCAGCCTTCACTTCACCTTTGCAGCTGCTAGCTTATCTGTTGCACCTCCGGTAAGTGGATCCGCTGTTTGTAAGTGGCTTTTAGAACACCCGTCCATCTGCGCTGCCTATATGGGTGATCCGCGACTGCTGGTCCGCCTCCACGTCACCTTTGTCGCTGCTAGCTTGTCCGTTGCACCTCCGGTAAGTATATCCGCTGTTAACAAGTGTGTTTGATAGAAACCCTCGGCCGGCTTTTATAGAACCCCTCTATCTGCGCTGCTTATATGTGTGATCCGCCACTACTGGTCAGCCTCCACGTCACCTTTGCCGCCGCTATCAAGTCCGTTGCACGTCCGGTAGGTGTATCCGCTGTTAATAATTAGCTTTTAGAACTGCTGTGTATCTATGCCGCCTATCTGTGTGATCCGCCACTGCTGTTCAGCCTCCACGTCACTTCGCCGCCGCTATGAAGTCCGTTGCACTTAAATTAAGTGTATCCGTTGTTAGTACGTGGCTTTTAGAACACCCGTCCATCTGCGCTGCCTATGTGGTTAATCCGCCACTACTGGTCAGCCTTCACGTTACCTTTGCGGCTGCTAGGTTGTCTGTTGCACCTTAGGTAAGCCTATCCGCTGTTAACAATTTGCTTTTAGCAAACCCCTCCATCTGCGCTGCCTATATGATTAATGTGCCAATATTTTCCGCCTCCACGTCACCTTTGCCGCCGCTATCAAGTCCGTTGCACGTCCGGTAAATGTGTCCGCTGTTAATAAGTAGCTTTTAGAACTGCTGGGTATCCATGCTGCCTATACGGGTGGTCCACCACTGCTGTTCAGCCTCCACATCACCTTTGCCGCGACTATCATGTCCGTTACACGTCCGGTAAGTGTATCCGCTGTTAACAAGTGGCTTTTAGAGACCCTGTGCATCTGCGCTGCATATATGGTTAATCGGACACTACTGATCACCTCCACGTAAACTTTCCCGCCGCTATCAAGTCCGTTGCATATCCGGAAAGTGTATCCGCTGTTAATAAGTGGCTTTCAGAACACCCGTCCATCTGCGCTGCCTATATGGTTAATCTGCCACTACTTGTCAGCCTGCACGTCACCTTTGCCGCTGTTAGTATGTCCGTTTCATCTCCAGTAAGTGTATCCCCTGTTAATAAGTGGCTTTTAGAACCGCTGTGTATCCATGCTGCCTATATGGTTCATCCGGCAACATTGGTCTGCCTCCATGTCACCTTTGCCGCCGCTGTCAAGTCCGTTGCACATCAGGTAAGTGTATCCGCTATTAGTGAGTGGCTTTTAGAACACCCGTCCAGCTGAACTGGCTATATGGGTGATCCGTCACTACTGGTCAGCCTTCACTTCACCTTTGCAGCTGCTAGCTTGTCCGTTGCACCTCCGGTAAGTATGTCCGCTGTTAACAAGTGGCTTTTATAGATTCCCTCTATCTGCGCTGCCTATATGGGTGATCCGCCACTGCTGGTCCGCCTCCATTCACCTTTGCCGCCGATATCAAGTCCGTTGCACGTCCGGTAGGTGTATCCGCTGTTAATAATTAGCTTTTAGAACTGCTGTGTATCTATACCGCCTATATGTGTGATCCGCCACTGCTGTTCAGCCTTCACTTCCCCCTTTACTCTGCTAGCTTGTCTGTTGCAATTCCGGTAATTATGTCCGCTGTTAATAAGTGGCTCTTATAACCGCCGTGTATACATGCTGTCTATATGAGTGATCCCCCACTGCTGGTCCGCCTTCACGTCACCTTCGTCGCTGGTAGCTTGTCCGTTGCACCTCAGGTAAGTATATCCGCTGTTAACAAGTGGCTTTTAGAGACCCCGTGTATCTGCGCTGCCTATATGGTTCATCCGGCAATATTGGTCCGCCTCCATTCACCTTTGCCGCCGCTATCAAGTCCGTTGCACGTCCGGTAGGTGTATCCGCTGTTAATAAGTAGCTTTTAGAATTGCTGGGTATCCATACTGCCTATATGGTTGATCCGCCAATGCAGGTGCGTCCCCACGTCACCTTTGCGGCTGCTAGCTTGTCCGTTGCAACTCTGGTAAGTATGTCCGCTGTTAATAAGTGGCTTTTAGTAGTGCTGTGTATCTATGCTGCCTATATACATGATCCGGCGCTACTTTTTGGCCTACACGTATCCTTTGCGTCCTCTGTACGCCGTTGCAACTCCGGAAAGTGCATTGGCTCTTCACTGTTTTCTTTTAGGACACCTGTGTATCTCTGACATATGCGTCATTAATGATATTCTTCCACGAAACATTTCCTGCAGCATAGATACTCCGTTGCACCTCCAGTAAGTTTATTTGCTGTTAACAATTGGTTTCTCAACTCCTGTGTATCCGTGCTGCCTGGATGACTGATCTGCCACTTCTGGACAGCCTCTAGGCAACGGTTGCCGCCGCTACGTACTTCCTTTCACCCACAGTAAGTGTATTGTGTCCTCATGCGGCTTTTACAACTCCAGTCTCTCCTTGATTCCTAAATGGGTGATGGTCAACTACTGGTCTGCCACATCACATACGCCGCCTCTATCTACCCCGTTGCACATCCCGTAAAGGTATGGGCTATTAATAGGTGGCTTTTAGAACCCCTCTCTTCGTGATGCTTACTTGAGTGATGTGCCACTACCACTTTCCCTGCATGTAACATGTGCTGCCGCGTATATACTCCGTTGCACCCCTGGTAAGTGCATTGCTTGTTCACTTTTCGCTTTCAGAACCCCTGTCTATCCGTGGTGCCTACTTCAGTGCTCAGCCAGTACTGGTCCGCCTCCACTTCACGTGTGCGACAGCAGAAATACTTCCAGGCACGTCAGGTTTGTGTATTAATCTGTAACGTGTGGCTTTTAGAACGGACGCATATTCCCTTCGTATGCATGACTACTCCGACAGTCTCGTCGCTTCCGTAGTAATGCTGAACTCCATGCGTATGTTCATCACTGCGTATTTTACCCACGAGATGTTTTCATGTAAACTTTCTTTTTATCAATAGTACATATTTATACTGTCTTACGTGTTCGTTTATCCAATGTCCCGTTACCTTGATTTCGAACTGTCACCGCGGCCTCTTATGAGGCTTGGGAAACCATTTCTCAGTGTTCACCCTTGGTGTGTTCAGAGCTACATATACGCTCACTCATCTAGTGATGTATATTTCTGAATGGTCCAAACGTCCGTTACGCTTATTGCTTTGGCTTTCCCTATGTCGGGAACCATTTCCCTCCACCGCTGCTTATCACCTGGTACGTTACCCTGTATTGTTGTTGCCTTAGCAATTAGCCTTAATACAAGACAACTACCACGTCGGATAATACATGGCAGCTGTGCAAAATCATGAACATAAATGCGGTAAACCGATATGTATATTCATTGCATCTACCGCCTGTCCGCCAAGCTGTGCGCAGAGCCGTGACAAATGGATAACACTGCATTTTCAAAAAACTATTGCAGCACAGATGAGTTTTCCATGAGCATATTACCGCCGCATGCCATCTGCTGCTCTCCAAGTGCCTTTGCACCAGTTCGTTGACTTTCCCACTAGGTATATGGACAACCAAATACCATCTACTTTGGATTTGGTTTTCGCTAAGTCCCTGGACTTCGTGACTGACGTTGCATGCGGTGCACCTCTAGGGTCCAGCGATCACGCATGCATATCCTTTCGATGTGCTCTTTCAAGGCACCAAGAGACCGCTGTTGAATTACTTCCGAATATTTGGCGGGCGGACTTTAGTGCAATGCGAACTAAGGCTTCAGTTCTGAACTGTGAGATTTCGATGGCTGACTCTGTCCAGTTAGCCTGGGATAAATTTAAGGCGTACCTTACGGAGGTTTCCACTCCCTATATTCCACTCATGAGGAAAAGAGGGTTAAGGGCACAGCCTCCATGGATAGATACCACAGGCAAGTTCCTACTCAAGAAACGGTCTAGATGCTGGCGAACCTACCAAGCAGCTCCATCAGCCAGTACCTATGGTAGTTATCGAGAGAATAGAAATAAATGTAAGCAACATCTCAGAACTGCTCGTCTCCAATACGAGCAGGGTTTAGCGGACTCGGCCGCAGCTAATCCCAAGAAGTTTTTTGCTTACGTTAAAAGACGCAGCGGGGCCAAACTGTCTATACCAGCTTTATTGCGAGCAAACGGGACCCGTGCGCAAACTGAATATGACAAGGCTTGTATACTGAGTGACCAGTATACTGGAGTCTTTGCTCGGGAGACCTCTTTACCACAGGTTGAATTGGTTTCAAGAGTTCCAGAGGATTCTTGCTTAGCTGAACTTAGCATAACGGAGACTCAGGTCTTCGAGCTACTGCAAGGCATTAATCCCTCTAAAGCTTCCGGTCCTGATTCAATTCATCCGAAGCTGTTGCATGAACTGGCCACTGAGCTGAGTGGTCCGCTCACGTGCGTATTTTCAATATCGCTGTACAGCTGCAGCCTACCTTCGGAATGTAAGGAGGCGATCATCTGTCCGATTTTTAAGGGCGGTGACAGCGCTCTACTCGCGAACTACCGGCCTGTCAGTTTGACAAGCATAGTAGTCAAGTTGTTCGAGAAGCTGATAAGGGATTCAGTTGAGAACCATCTGAATCGATTCAACCTTCTCAGTGTTGCACAACATGGATTCCGCAAAGGATTTTCATGTCAGACTAATTTACTTGTAGCTCGTGAAAGCTGGGCCGAAGCGGTAGACAGTGGCCACGCTGTAGACGTGCTATTCGTAGATTTTTCGAAAGCTTTTGACACTGTTCCACATCTTCGGCTCTCACTAAAGTTGAGATCTTACGGGATATCTGGTCGCGCCCTTCAATGGGTGTCTGCCTTCCTTGAGGGGAGGGAACAGTGCGTACGGGTGGGGCGTAGCCTTTCGCTCAGGCAAGCTCTCCTTAGTGGCGTTCCGCAGGGCTCGGTACTGGGGCCATTGTTGTTCGCGATCTATGTAAATGACTATCCGGGAGAGCTAGGAGTGTCATCATTAATGTTTGCTGACGACCTTAAGCTCTGGAATATTGTGGATATCCCGGGGGTCCTGATGCAATTCAGCGTGCCTTGGATAGGCTCTGGGAATGGTCTATCTTATGGTTGATGCCCATAAATAGGGCGAAGTGCTCTGTTCTCCGAATCGGAGCTGCAAACCCTGCCACCCGATATGTTGTCGGCGGTGGTGAACTCCCTGTTGTCACTCAGCAGGTTGATTTAGGAGTCGTACATGCATCAGCACTTCATTCTGGAGACAACTGGAAGAAGGCTGCTTGTCGAGGGTTTCGTATGATGTGGTTTATCCGCCGCTCTTTCGGAATCTTATCGGGCAATTTGTTTGTAAAGCTATTTTCGGCATTCGTCCGACCCCACCTGGAATATTGTATTCAGGCTTGTCCACCATGTCTTAACCGAGACAAAATGGACTTGGAGAGGGGGTTACGAGTGGGCACTCGGTTAGTGCAGGGTCTACGGAGACAGACGTATCCTGAACGCTTGCTCAGTTTGGGTATGTACTCTATGCACTACCGAAGGATAAGGGGGACCTGATTCTCACTTATCGTATTTTGACGGGTAAGATTGGCCCGGACTTGTCAGGGCTATTTAGTCCCGCTACGTTACCTAGTCTCCGCGGTCACCCACTGAAATTGCATAAACCACGGTCTGATAGGATTAGGACGGAAACTCGTCTATCGCGCCGAGTTATAGATCGCTGGAATTCTCTTCCAGATCATGTGGTTAGGGAACCTACAGTTAAGGGTTTTGCGCGCCAGCTCGATGCTCTTGGGTGGCAACAGCAAACCTTTCCTTTTTCCTAGCCGACTCACCTTCACTTTTCAGTTCTTTTTTATTGACTCAAATATCTTGGTATTCCACTTGCTTAGCTCTAACCACTTTCTCTTTTGCCTCCTGCGTTTACTTTTTTCTCTTTCTTACTTCACGTAACCGACCCAGCAGGGACTGCTAGGGCAGGATACGTGGGTATTAATTGGTTGGACAGGGTGTGATGCGGTCTTTGTTTTAGGTCCATCAGTATTTCAAAGTTCGCTAACTCCTGGTTCAACGACCCGCCGAAGAAGGAAAACTCACGGGATAATCCTATCGTTCCAGTCCCACTTGAACTTGAACTTGTGAACAGAGGCCTATTCCCCCCGTTGTCCAGATTAACGGCTAATAGAAGTCCCGACGAATGCATGCAGAAATAAACCGCTTATTCACATGCTAACATATATTAAACATTCATGACCCGGAATCTCTACCATTGATAACTACATGTGCACTGTGTCGATTACGTTTGATTTGTTTTGTATAAAGCACATTGTTTCGTGTACGCATACTGTTTCCCGATTGGTGCTATTGCCGCACATTTAATGGGACGTATTTGTGGTAATTGACAACCGTTCATGGAAGCTGGTGCAGCCCAATGACATACGTTTCAATTCAGTAAATAATAACTTCTCCCTATCGGGGCATGGACACCCTTATAACGCAGCTTGAATTTCCGATGGTGGAAACATCCAATGCGTCACCGTTTCATAGTTGATGATTACGCTGCCGTTACCGTACTTGTATTCTCTTTCCATGCATAACGGCAACGAACGCAATCCATGGGTCCAGTAAAGTATGCACATTAATGCGATAAATGACACATTAACATGGTCAAAATATGCAACCGTCACCTTCGCAGGAATACACAGTAATACGTACTCATGCGTAAATGTGTGCTATACATGCATAAAATTATTCCCATCCCTGTTCATAACTTCCATAAATTGCTCATTTATCACAGTGTTATTGCAAGTGCTTCATACAAGTCATTCATTTACGTACCCTAAAAATTTCAGCTAACATTTATTATGTTAATTAGGTAATGTCGTCCATAAAACGCGCATTCCAACGACGCTAATCACCATATTTCAACATGTAAAATCACATAAACATGCTCATCTGTATAATTAGCAGCTAGTTTTTCTCGAGTACATTGCAATCCATTATCAAATAGAATATTACAAGATATACTTAGATGTACGTTTCAATAAATATACTTAAATGTGTGCACCTTTAACACATGTGTCAATGCATTAACATATATGTTACCTTTGCAAGCATATATATATATATCATTACACTTGTACGTATAGCCTTTCACTCCTAGGATGGTACATCCGTAATTTAATGCACTCTTTAATGCAATATATAGCAAGCTATTTCGATTCTCATTTACATTACCACTTCTAATGACACATACACATAAGGACAAGCGCAGCCGTGCAAAATCATACATACAGTTGCCATCTATAAGTACTTGTTACGGTGCACCAATAAACCGTCATACGCTGCCCTCCCATTGCAAGCATTGCTTTTTCATTTTCAAACTGAAATTAATGCACCTCTTTTGTATGCCATTTCTACTTTTACGAAAATTACGAACTTTTTTATTTAGTCTAATATATCACACATAAATGATTTTTGAGTATCTAGACAAGCTGAAGCATAACATTCTACCTTTATTTTGCACATTTTCACCATAGTTTCCTAGATCCATAGATCAGTTGTACCTTGAGGCATGGTAACGTGCTGCACAACGGTCGATGCAAGGGGTAATAAATAACAGTACCGGAGGTACATCCGACACCTGGAAATAATAGGAGTAGTATGAACATACGTCCGCGTGTGCACATTGAAAAAGAATTACGAATGGACGATCAATAATGCCATAATGTAATGTTAAACGTTAAAGCACGTATGTGTTGAAATGGAGGACCGAAGGTCGAAGTAGGTAGTCAGGAAATACGAAATCCTGGTTGCCATGACAGCACCCGTCGCTGCGTGGTGAAATGGTGATGTATTCTGAAAGGGAAGATATAGTGAGAGGTGACACTGATATATGGTAGCAGTAGTACCTGCGCTATGTTTTAAAGGAATGAAATCTTCCTAAAGGGTACGAAGGCAAGTGATATATGGTGATGTTAACGATTACGGCACAGAAAATGTACGTATCAAATGAAAGGTATTTTTTTCCTGAA